AAGCGGAGGGAATCACACAGAAGCATGAATACCAAGAGGTGGGGTCCCTGGGAGCCGTCTTAGAGTCTGCCCACCACCGGCCCGAAGTGGCTCTGACAGCTTATTTGGTTGGTTGACCAGAAGAACTTGGCCTCAATGGTGGCCCACAGCTCATGAAGTTGAGATGCCAGGGCTTCCTCAGGATGACGTGGAGGAGCGAATGCAGGCTCAGGTGAGTAGGATGGTTGGATTGGATCTAGAATGTGAAACCTGCTGATTGAGAAGATTAAAGGGCTATAGCTGATCCTGTGCCTGGCCCTGGGAAGGTAGTCAGAGATGTTTAACCAAAGCAGTAAGATAGGCAGGGCAGGAAGTTCTCCTAAATCCATTTAACAGAACAAGACCAAGGCTCAGAGGAGTGAAGCAACGTGCTCAGGGTCGCACATCACACGGGTGGCTCAGACTCCAGGTTGAGTGCCGTACTTCCCCACCTCTCTGCACCTCCTGTTGGGGGGTAGAGGGCCCGAGGCAGAGCACACAGCACCCCTGCTAGTGCAGATGAGGCCTCAGACCCAGATCCCCCAGCAGGGGGGAACACGTGCCTCTCACGCTCACGTTGGTGTGACTGGGCTGGACTGCCAGGGAGGGGGCAGCCAAGCTCTCGCTGGCCGAGAGGGATGCAGAACTAGAAAAATCATTACAGGCAGATGAATTATTCACAGAATCGTCGACCTCCTCAGGCCCCGGACAGCCGGAAGCCCGCTGAATAACCCAGCGCATCTTATTACCCACGTGTAATGGCCTCTTTTTCTCTGTCTCAGAAGAAAGCGATTCAACACCATCAAATATTAATGCGGGGCAGCTGATACGGTGGCCGCTCACACACTGGCTCTCCAGTGCTGCCCTGGAGGTCAGGGATGTCGCCAGCCTGGGATCCAGAGACTCGACCGGGAGGGCCCAGGTAGCCGTGCCCTCCCTCCAGAGCCCGAGAAGAGAGTCCTCACACACGGCGGCAGCCTCCACCCCGTCCGTGATCTCAGGTGCGCCAGAAATGCCGTGCGTTGCTTTCCTAAAACAGAGATTCATGTTAATGTTGCACATCATTCCCAATCTCAGTGGGTTTGAGATCCCCCTGGGGGTTGTCTCTGCCCCAGAGCCCTCCTGGGACTAAGGATTCGGAGGTGCCTTGGGGTCTGTATTAGTGTCCCGTGGCCGCTGTAACAGATTGCCCCAAACGGGGAGGCTTAAAACAACAGACATGTATTCTCTCAAAGTTCTGGAGGCGAGAAGTCTGAGATCGAGGTGTCGGCAGGGTTGCACGCCCTCTGAGGCTCCGGGAAAACACCCTCTTCAGCTTCCGGTGGCAGCCGCAGCCCTCGGCTTTGCGCACACAGCGTTCCCATCTCTCCCTCCATCTTCTGCCATGGGTCTCTCCGCATCTCATAGGACCCCAGACGTGGGATTCGGGGCCCATTCTCCTCCAGGATGACCTCATCTTAACTGCAGCAGCCCTATTTCCAAATGAGGGCACCTTCTGAGGTTCCAGATGGACATAACTTGGAGGACACTATTCAACCCATTATAGGGTCCATGCTGGCACTCATGGCCACGGCTCACCTGGATCCTGACTTTCGGTCCATTCAAGTCACACCGGTGTCCTGACCCCAGAGTTTCTCCAGGTTTCTCCTTCCTCTCTGGTCCACATCCCCACTTCTCCCGCTGTTTCTGCAGCCCCCCTGGGAGTGGGGAAGCTCAGAGGGGCTGTCCAAGCCCCTCTGTCCAGGTGCCCCTCACCTCACCCCCATTGCTCAGAGGAACAGGGTCCCATCAGTCCCCCAGGCTCTGGCAGGGAGTGGCGCCCTGAGTTCTCAAGTCAGGGTGCAGCCAATGCAGTCGACGCCCTTCCCATGTCCCTTCGGCCATCACTGTCCCCAGCACACTGAACCAGCAGATTCCAATTCCACACTCCTGGGCCCTTCACCTGCAGCTCCTCCAGCCATCAGAGCCCACTCAGCTGCAGCGTGGGGCAGCCCAAGGGCCAGGATCACGCTCCTCCCACCAGATCAGCCCTCAGCCAGTGGCCCTAGCACCCTCACCCCTGGATGGGTCAGCTCTGCTGCACGTTCCACGCTGTACCCTGAAGACCCCTGCGGGCATGGGCTCCACTTCCTGGAGTGGCTTTGCAGCTCCCTTGCCTTCCCATCACAGTGCCTCGCTCATCACCTCCCAAATAAGCTCCCATTCATCCTCTCAGGGAAACCTGCACCGAGACACGGGGTCTAACATCGTACCAGCTGGGCCCAGGCCTCATCTCGGGAGACCCTCCACCTCCAAGCTTCTCTCTTCCTGCTCTGACCACATCTCCTGCCTCACCAGGACGTGGCTTCATTCGTTTAGAAAATCAGAGTCTGAGATGAAGCTCACCAGCAGCCCCCAACCAGGCCGCCCCACGCCCTACCCCCGCTTCCTCCTCCCCTCGGCCGCCCACCCTGCGTCCGCCCAGGGCGATGCCAGCGTCATGCCGCATCGGCTCCAGTTCAGTCTGGCCCCCGGTCTCCCCCACTCTCTTCCCTCTATGCTTTAGCTCAGGAGCACCCGCACTCTGCAGGCTCCCCTGGGGACCCCTCTGCCTCGCTCGAGGCCAGCCCCGGCCCCCCTCCTGCAGGAAGTGTCCCCACACCCTCCAGCCAGATGCAGCTCCCCTTCTACCTCCCAAGCTCTTTGCAGACAACAGCCGATGGCCTCCACCCATGCGTCTCATCCACCGGCTGGAGACCTGGGACTGAGCCACATCTGTGTCCCCAGCACCCTCACAAGACCAGGTCTGTAGTCGGCATCTGTGGGTATTTGACATCGAGGATGGCCACCTCCCTATTCTTAGTGAAAGAAGGTATGGGCACACGGTCTGACCACAGTGAAGTTCTCCCACAAATGATTGCAAGCGGCTCTCATGCTTTTTCAAGGTCCGTGCAGCAGGGGACATCCCAGGCCCTCCTCCCACTCAGACCTACAGCAGCACCACCTCTGAGCCTTCACACATGCCGATTCCCGGGCCTGGAAACATGCCTGTCCTCCGGCTCCCACCAGACCCTTGGCCGGGGATGGAGATGCTCTGCTGGGCTCCCCCAGACCCAAGGCCTTGCCCCACCCCTGTCCTCGGGCCTCTGGATTGGAGCAGTCCGCTTATTTGCCTGTCCCCTCAGGGATCAGCTCCTCGGGGTATGGGCTTCAGAAGTGAGCTCAGTTATCAGGGTCAGCGTCACCTCCCAGCCCCTGGGCCCTCCTCACATTGTCCCACGTCCCCCCACCTACAACCTGCCTGTCTCCCCGCAGTCCTCGCACCCCAGGCCTCCATCTTGCCCTAAGCCCGGGAGCATGGCCCGCTTCTGCCTCTGTGCCTCCTGCCTTCTAAACAACAGTGTCTGCCACACCATCACCCCTTCCCCAGCACCCCTGGAGCCCCCCCAGGCCTGGCCTGGGCAGGGTGACCCGGCGACCAGGACACAGCGTGAGTCTGGAGCCGCTCTGAGACCCGTGAGAGACAGTCAGAGAATGTCTCCAGGGGGGTGACCCATGAAGGCTGGGCTGAGCCAGGCACGAGGGGAGTGTCCAGGGGACCCGGGAGTGATGGCTGGAGACAGGATGACTGCCAATGGTCGGCTGTGTCTGGAGCATTAGGGCCAAGGAGGGAGGCTGCGGAGGGCGGGTCTGCCCTCACCTGGCGCCGATGGGAGACGCTGCAGTCTGGGCCACGTGGTGGCTTTCGGGGACCTGAGGTGCTTTTGCCTTTGTGGGCCCCTTCCAATATTAAAAAAAAATTTTTTTAAATAAATGTATTTATTTATTTTGGCTGCGTTGGGTCTTCATTGCTGCGCGCGCGCGGGCTTTATCTAGTTGCAGCGAGCAGGGCTACTCTTCGTTGCGGTGCGCGGGCTTCTCACTGCGGTGGCTTCTCTTGCTGCGGAGCACGGGCTCTAGGCGTGCGGGCTCCGGTAGTTGTGACACGTGGGCTCAGTAGCTGTGGCGCACGGGCTCAGGAGTTGTGGAGCATGCGCTTAGTTGCTCCGCGGCATGTGAGATCTTCCAGGACCAGGGCTCGAACCCGTATCCCCTGCATTGGCAGGCGGATTCCCAACCACTGCGCCACCAGGGAAGCCCTAAAAATTTTTTAAATTACATTTTACAACTGCACTGGTATAAAGATAAATATAATCCAGGCTGGATTCATATTATTTTATCTTTTTCCTCTTGATTCTACGAGAAATGAAAATGAACATTTTTGCAGACCCCTAGAGGACCGAGTCCCAGGCCCTGTTCCTGCTGCATTTACTGTGGCCGTCGGCCTGGACTGCGGGGCCCAGCCAGACCGACCCACACTGCCTGGAGGCTGAGACGCAGGGGGCACTGGAGGTGGGGGGCAGGGGGAGGAGAGCCAAGTTCCTGCAAGTGGCAGTGGCCTTGAGGGGGGCTAAGCCGGACCTGAGGGTGGGGACTTGGAGGGAGGCAGGCGTTCAGCACCCCCATGGCTCATGGGGCTTTCGAGGCAGCCGCCCTGTCTCCCACCATCCTGGATGGGGAGGGACAGGGCGCTGGCCGTGAAGCTCAGTGGCCCAAACTTCCAGCCGTGGGACCCTGGGCAGGTCACATAATGCCTCGTGCCTCCCTTTCCTCATCTGTAGAATGGGGACATCCAGGTGGTCTGAGAAACACTTGGTGCTCGGTGAGTCCTTGACAAGTGTCACCAACTTCCATTATTATCTCTGTTATTAATAATTACCTCCAGGGGTCCTCCCACAGCAACCTGGGAGGATGACCACATCACTATCCCCTCTTTACAGGTGAGGAAACTGACCGGCAGAGGGAAGGGAGCTGCCTGGGGTTCGTGCAGCAGCTCCAATGAATGACAGAAATGTCAGTCCCCACCAACCAGACTAGAAGGAGAGGTACAGGGCAGCCCACACACCCACCAGGCAGTGGCAGGGCTGGCACGTCCACCAAATCACCAACTCCAGAACCCAAGCTCTTCACACCTGGCCTGCCAGGGCTGGACAGGACCCCAAGCCTCCCACTGCCTCCCAACGCGGGAAGCTTCCGCAGCAGGATCGTGGCTTGTTTTCTCCTTAATTGGGACTCACCTTCTGGAGAAACCATATTGCAAGAACAGTACATTATCTGGGGCCCACACTGGAAGAGCGTGTTTATCAGGACAGCCGGAGCACCATGCCTGAGGGATGGGCATCTCCATAATTCCCACTTCCCCGCAGCCGGGACCCTAAGAGCAGAGAGCAGGGAGTCTCTTGGGGCTGCTGAAGCCGCCACCTGCCCCTGGAGCAAGCGATGGGGTATGAAAGCAGAGCCCGGCCGCCCGCAGACCGGCATCCCCTTCACCCCAGATCATCAGTGTAGTGAACAGGACCCCACAGGGCGGGGAACGGTCTTCCACCTTGGGGTCTCCATCGGGTGATTTTAGCTACAGTCTGTCACGAGCCATTATCCATTTTACCTATTTGTTCAACATTCATTCCTTTATTTAACAAAGTTCACTGAGTGCCTGTATGGGGCAAGCATCCCTCCAGATGCTGACAACACAGACGTGGACGAGACAGACCAGGTCTAGCGGGCGAGACAGAACCGAACAAATCATCACACGATTCGCTAGTTAATGACACTGCCGTGAGGCACAAGGAGCAGGGGAAGCCCCCCCAGGGCGCTCGCCGGGGATGCCGAGAGCTTAGCGTCTGCGCACCGGTGCCAAGCCGAACCTCAGAGACAGGGTTTTGGGTGAAGTAGAAAAGAATAGCTTTATTGCTTTGCCAGGCAAAGGAGGAACACAGTGGGCTCCTGCCCTCGAAAACTATGTGTACCAGCCCGGGAGGAGTTGATAAGGAGTTTTATAACAATACCTCCCAAGGGCGGGGTTGCTGACAAGATGAGGGGCCGCGGGGTCTCAGGCGCGAGGCCTTGCTGAGCTTCTCGGGTCCCTGTGATCTCGCCTCCTAGCCTTGGCCGCTCCTCCCTTGATTAGCAGCTGTTCGAACCTTCCCTTTGGCACTCAGGGGAGGTCATGGAGGCCGGAGTCTTGCCTACAAGAAACGGGGGGCCAAAAGGCTTCCATGCCCAGCAGCCCCATGGGGTCCTCCTCGGTTTCACCTGGGAGGCCCCAGAAGGCTTCTTGGGGGCGGAAACCCCTAGAAAGAGGGCGACCAAGGAGAGGAGGAGATGCTGGGTGAGGGAGTAGCATAAGACGGGAAGGAGCCTTTCCGTTTTCACTCCAGTATCAGTGAGGCCCTGACAGTGCCCTTCCTGGGCGTGTTTGCTCTAGGACTCTGCCCCTGGGCTCTGCCCAAGGCCCCGGGACACACAGAGGCTTTGTCATAAGGGAAAGGCAGGCATTTCTGGACCATCTCCTGATGCACTTCCTTCTCCCTTCCTCTCTTACCCGCCCCTCCTGCCACACAGCTCGGCCATGAGGATTCTTGCTTTAGGAGGGAAGTGGGGACCACTGAGAACAGGGCGTCCCTGGGACTGGCAGATGGAGCCTCTGACACAGAACTTCCCACCTGACTGGAAGTGGAAGCTGGAAGCCAGTGGGGTGGGGGGAGCAGTGAGGGTCTCCTGAACCCCCCAGGGAATTCCAGGAATGTGGCCAGAGCCCTGGAAGATGCCCAAGGAGCCACTGGGCGAGTCTACAAACGGCAGAGGGAAATGTCTCAGGTAACCCTGCATCTCACCCTCCCCCAGACCCTGCAGTATCCCCTTCCACTCTGCCCACCCATCCCCCACCCCGAAGCCAGGGGAGCTGTTCCAAACCCAATCCCAGACTTCCGGTTTCTGGCCTAGCACAGAGGAAGCTTGGAAGCTGCCCCTCAGTCCTAACAACAAGTAAAAAACTGAACAAGCTGAAAAATCAACAACTCTTGTTAGATTCGTGAAAGAAGCGAGGCCACAGGGCAAACCGCATCAGAGGCACCGACAGGCAAGCGCAGAGACCCACGGCTCCGGGAGCAGAAAGCTGCCCAGGAACCAGGACTAGGGAAGGGAAACGGAACGGAAACTGACGAGCTGCTGGAGGCCCAGTGTGGATGAGGCTGAAAGTTGAAACTCCAGAGGGGGCCCAGTGCGAGAGGGGTCCTCACCTGTTTGTGAACTTTACCTCCAGGTCCCCAATCTGCTCTCACAAGTGAATATTGGAGGGAAAATCCCCGTGTGCTTCCAGCAGGGGAGGAGAAAAGGAACCACTGTGAAATACACCAGAATATCCGTTCTTAACAAGGCCAGCCCTCCTAATCTATCAGATTTAATCTATTAGTTTAACCTAATCAGAGCCTAATCTCCCTGGGTCTGATCAGAGCCTAACAGAGGTGAGAAAGGGGAAACACCCAACTCCAAGCCACTCTAGCCATCCCTCCCCACTTATGGGGGTGGGAAGGGATGAGAAACATTCATGAAGTTCACAGTTCTGTAAGCACAGGTTCACTACAGAACTGAGACCTAGAACTCTTCCCCTCCCCCCACCTCACCACTGCATTACTAAAAGCCTATTTCCAGAAGTTTCTTTTACCCAGTACATCATGTCCGGCTTTCAAGAAAAAGTTACAAGGCATACTAAAAGGCAAAAAACATAGTTTGAAGAGACAGAGCAAGCATCAGAACCAGATTTTTTTTTTGCGATATGCGGGTCTCTCACTGTTGTGGCCTCTCCCGTTGCGGAGCACAGGCTCTGGACGCGCAGGCTCAGCGGCCATGGCTCACGGGCCCAGCCGCTCCGCGGCATGTGGGATCTTCCCGGACCGGGGCACAAACCCGTGTCCCCTGCATCGGCAGGCGGACTCTCAACCACTGTGCCACCAGGGAAGCCCCAGAACCAGATTTTGATATGGCAGGGAGGTTAGAAATATCAGACCAGGAATTTAAGACAGCCATGATTAATATGCTAGAGCTCTAATGGGTAAAGTCAACTGCATGTAAGAACAGGTGTGACGTGTAAGCAGAGAGATGGAAATCCTGAGAAAGAACCCAAAAGAAATGCTACAGATCAAACACACTGGAAAGGAAATGCAGAATGCCTTTGAGGGACTTATTAGTAGAGGAACGGCTGAGGAACGAATCTCTGAGCTTGAGAATATCTCAACAGAAACCTCCAAAATTGAAAAGCCAAGAGAACAAAGACTTAAAAAAAATAGAACAGAATATATGAGGGCTGCAGGACAGCTACAAAGGTGTAACATATGTGTAATTGGGAATTCCAGCAGAAGAGAGAAAGGAACAGAAGAAATATTTGAAACAATAATGGCGGAGAATTTCCCCAATTAATGTCAGACACCAAATCAGAGATCCAGGAAGCTCAGAGAACACCAAACAAGATAAATGCCCCAAATAAACTATACCTAAGCATTTCATTTTCAAACTTCAGAAAGGCAAAGAGAAAGAGAAAAAAAATCCTGAAAGCAGCCAGAGGGGAAGAAAGCACATTATCTATAGAAGAGCAAAGGTAAGAATTACTTCCAGCTCCTTGAGAGTGGAGTGAAATATTTAAAGTGCTGAGAGAAAAGCCCCCCAAATTTAGAATTCTGTACCCTGTGAAATTACCCTTCAAAAGTGAAGGGGAAATAAAGACTTCCTCAGACAAACAAAAATTGAGGGAATTTGTGGCTAGTAGACCTGCCATTCAAGAAATGTTCAAAGCAGTTCTTTAGAGAGAAAGAAAATAATATGGGTCAGAAACATGGATTAACATAAACAAAGGAAGAGCATAGGGGAAGAAATAAAGTGAAGGTAAAATAAAACCTTTATTTTTTTTATTCTTAACCTTGAACTAACAGATAATGATGTGTTCAAAATAATCATACCAACAATGTATTTGACTATATACATAATATATATGCTTATGAATGTTTATGTATAAGTGAAATGAATGACAGCAATGATACAAAGTATAGGAGGGAGGAATTAGGATTATTTTGTTATTATAAGGGATTTGTACAACCCATGAAGTGATATAGTGTTATTTGAAAGTGGATCGGAGTAGCTGTAAATGTATATTGCAAACTCTAGGGCAACCACTAAAAACAAGCAATATCACTGATAGGGTAAGAAAGGAGAGAAAAGGGAATTATATAAAATGCTCAGGTAAAACCACAAAAGGCAGATTTGCAACAACATGGATGAACCTTGAGAAAACATGCTAAGTGAAATAAGTCAGACAAAGACAAATACTGTATGATCTCACTTACATGTGGAATCTAAAATAGTTGAAATCATAGACACAGAGAGTAAAATGGTGGTTGCCAGGGGCTGGGGTGTGGAAGTGCTGGTCAAAGGATACAAGCTTTCAGGTATAAGGTGCATAAGCTCAGGGGTCTAATGTACAGCATGGTGACCATCATTAACAATACTGTATTATATATTGAAAGTTCTCAACACACACACACACACACACACACACACAAAGGTAACTATGTGAGGTGACAGATGTGTTAACTACCTTTATTGTGGTGATCATTTCACAATATATATGTATATCAAATCATCATGTTTTACACATTAAATTTATACAATTTATTTCTGTCAATTATACCTCAATAAAACTGGGGGAAAAGAGAAGAGTTACTCCAACACAAAAATCTCCAAATATCAAGGACTTGATAAATATTTATTTCTTACTCAAAAAAAAAAAAAAACAACCCCACAAAAAGGCAGAAAAAGTGAAAGAAAAAAGTAGTAACAAAGAACCATTGTAACAAACACAAAACAGTAACAAATGTGGTAGATATTAAGCCAACTATATCACTAGTCGCTTTGAATGTCAATAGTCTAAGTGCACCAATTAAAAGACAGATTGGGGCTTCCCTGGTGGCGCAGTGGTTGAGGGTCTGCCTGCCGATGCAGGGGACGCGGGTTCATGCCCCGGTCCGGGAAGATCCCACATGCCACGGAGAGGCTGGGCCCGTGAGCCATGGCCGCTGAGCCTGCACGTCTGGAGCCTGTGCTCCGCAACGGGAGAGGCCACAGCAGTGAGAGGCCCACGTACCGCAAAAAAAAAAAAAAAAAAAAAGACAGATTGGTAGAGTGGATCAAAAAACAAGAGTCAACTATATGTTGTCGAAAAAAAACTCACTTTAAATATAAATACACATATAGATTAAAAGTAAATGGATGGAAAAAATAAACCATGCTAACACTAATCAAAAGAAAGCAGGAATAGCTAATTAATTTCAGAGCAGACTTCAAAGCAAAGAGTTTTATCAGGGATAAAGAAGGGTGTTAAAAAGTGATGAATGTCCAAATTTCCAAAAGGACATAACCCTTAATGTGTGTGCATCTAACAACAGAGCATCACAATATATGAGGCAAAAATGAATAGAATTTCAAAGAGAAATAGCTGAATCCACTATCATGATTGGAGACTTCAACACCCCTCTATCAGAAATGGACAGGTCCAACAGGTGGAAAATCAGTAAGGACATAGTTGAACTCAGCAACACCATCAATCAACTGGATAAAATTGACATCTATAGACTACTTCATCCAACAAGAGAAGATTGTACACTCTTCCCAAGCTCACACACAACATGCACCATGATAGACCACTTCTGGGCATAAAACATACCTTAACAAATTCTAAAGAACAGAAATCATACAATGTCTGCTCTCAGACCACAGTGGAATTAAACTAGAAATCAATAACAAAAAGAATACTGGAGAATCCCAAAACACTTACAGATTAAACAACATACTCCTAAATCACACATGGGTCAAAAGAGAAATTTTAAAATACAGTTGACCATTGAACAACATGTGTTTGAAATGCACAAGTCCACTTAAATGTGGATTTTTTTTTCAATAAATACATACTACAGTACTACACAATCTTTGGTTGGTTGAATCTGTGGATGTGGAACAGCGATATGGAGGATCAACTGTAAAGTTACATGCAGATCTCCACCTGTGAGGGTATCAGTACCCCTAGCCCTGTATTGTTCAAGGGTCAACTCTACCTTGAACTAAAGAGAATGAAAACATAACTTATCAAAATGTGTAGGATGCAGCAAAAGCAGTACTTAAAGGGATATTTATAGCACTGAGTGCCTGTATTAGAAAAGAAGGAAGATCTAAAATCAATCATCTAATCTACCTCAAGAAACTGGAAAAAGATCAAATTAAAATGACCGTAAGCAGAAGAAAAGAAATGATAAGAATTAGAGCAGAAATCCATAAAATTGAAAACAAGAACTCAGTAGAGAAAATCAACAAAACCCAAACCTGTTCTTTGAAAAGATCAATAAAATCAATAAACCTCTAGACAGGCTAGCTAGGAAAGAAGACTCAAATTACTAATATTAAAAATGAAAGGGGGAACACCACTACAGATCCCATGGACATTAAAATGAATACTATGGACTATGAATCAAGGAATTCTATGCCCACAAATATGATATCCTACATGAAATGGACCAATTCCTTGAAAGACACAATCTGCCAAAATTCACACAAAAAGAAATAGACAATCTTAAAAGGACTACATCTATTAAATATTACTGAGTCAATAATTAATAACCTTCCAAAACAGAAAGCACCAGACCAAGATGGGTTCACTGGTGAATTCCACAAAACATTTAAGGAAGAAATTATACAAATTCTCTACAATCTCTTGCAGAGGAAATACTTCCTAACTCATTCTGTGAGGCTGACATTATCCTAATACCAAAGCCAGGCAGAGAGATTACAAGAAAAGAAAACTACAGACCAATATCTCTCATAAACATATATGCAAAAATCCTCGACAAAATATTAGCAAACCAAATCCAACAGTGCATAAAAAGAATTACAGACCACACCAAGTCGAATTTATCCCTGGTAAGCACCGCTGTTTCAACATTTGAAAATCAATTAATGTAATCAATCACATCAACAGGCTAAAGAAAAATCACATGGTCAATTAACAGATGCAGAAAAATCACTCAATACAATCCCAAACCCATTTATCATAAAAAAAAATTAACAAACTAGGAATAGTTTACTGTTGAATGTTGAAACTTTTTCAACATTGTATTGGAAGTTCTAGCTAATGTAATAAGACAAGAAAATGAAATAAAAGGTACACTGATTGGGAAGGAAGAAATAAAACCGCCTTTGTCAACATGATTGTCCATGCGAAAAATCCAGAAGAATTGACCAAAAACAAACAAACAACAACAACAACAAAAACCTCCTAGAACAAGTGATTATGTATATCAAGGTTGCAAGATACAGTACGAGATTAATATAGGCATTCTTTGGAGATATAGTGAGTTTTGTTGCAGACCACCAAAATAAAGTAAATATCTTAATAAAGCAGGTCACGCAATTTTTTTGGTTTCTCAATTAATATAAAAGTTATGTTTACACTCTTCTGTAGTCTATTAAGTGTGCAATAGCATTATGTCTAAAAAACAATGTACCTACCTTACTTTAGAAATATTTTATTGCTAAAAAATGCTAACCAACATCTGAGCCTTCTGTGAGTAGTAGTAGTAACATCAAAAATCACTGATCACAGATCATCATAACAAATCTAATAATAATGAAAAAGTTTGAACTATTTTGAGAATTACCAAAGTGTGACACAGAGACACTCAGTGAGCAAATGCTGTTGGGAAAATGGTGTCAACAGATTTGATCGATGCAGGGTTGCCACAGACTTTCAATTTGAAAAAAATGCAATGTCTGTGAAGCACTATAAAGTGAAGAACAATAAAATGAGGTGTGCCTGTGTACAAAAATCACTTGATTTCTTATATTCCAGCGATGAACAAGTGGAATTTGAAACAAAAAGCACAAAACCATTTATATTAACACTCCCCAAAATGAAATATAAACCTAACAAAATATGCACAAGTCTTACATAAGGAAACTCTGATGAAAGACATTTTTTAAAAAAAATCTTAAATAAAAGGATATTTCATGTTCATGGGTAGAAAAACTCAAACATTGTCAAGATGTCAGTTCTTCCCAACTTGATCTATAGACTCAATGCAATTCCAAAAAGTCAAAATCCCAGCAAGTCATTTTGTGGACATCAGCAAAGTGATTGTAAAGTTTATGGGAGCTGCCTGGTGGTCCAGTGGTTAGGACTTGGAGTTTTCACTGCCATGGACCTGGGTTCAGTCCCTGGTCGGGGAACTAAAATCCTGTAAGCCGTGTGGCACAGCCAACAAATAAATACATACATACATAAAGTTTACATAAGAGGGAAAAGACTCAGAATAGCCAACACAACACAGAAGAAGAACAAAGTCAGAGGACTTGCATTACTCAAATTCAAAAAATACATACTAAAAATCTACAATAATCAAGACAGTGTGTTATCAGTGAAAGAATAGGCAAACAGACCAATGAAACAGATTAGAGAGCCCAGAAATAGACCCTTTATATAAATATAGTCAATTAACCGTTGACAAAGGAGGAAGAGCAATACAATAAGGAAAAGATAGTCTCTTCAACAAATGGTGCTGGAACAACTGGACATCCACAAGCAAAACAATGAATCTAGACACAGACTTTACACCCTTCACAAAAATTAATTCCTAATGGATCACAGACCTAAATGTAAAATGTAAAGCTGTTAAGACTTCTAGATGATAAATAGGAGAGCATCTAGATGCCTTGGGTTTGGTGATAACTTTTTAGACATCAAAGCCATGATCCATGAAAGAAAAAACGGATAAACTGGGCTCCATTAAAATTCAAAAGTTCTGCTCCATGAAGGACACTGCCAAGAGAATGAAAAGACAAGCCACAGACCGGGAGAAAACATTTACAAAAGACATACCTGATAAAGGACTGTTATCCAAAATATAAAAAGAACTCTTAAAATTCAATAATAAGAAAGCAAACAGTCCAATTAAAAAATGGGCCTAGGGGTTTCCCTGGTGGCGCAGTGGTTAAGAATCCTCCTGCCAATGCAGGGCACACGGGTTTGAGCCCTAGTCCGGGAAGATCCTACGTGCCACAGAGCAACTAAGCCTGTGTGCCACAACTACGGAGCCTGCACTCTGGAGCCCGTGAGCCACAACTACTGAGCCCGTGTGCCACAACTACTGAGGCCTGCGTGCCTAGAACCCGTGCTCTGCAACAAGAAAAGCCACCACAACGCGAAACCCGCGCACCGCAACGAAGAGTGGCCCCCACTCACCACAACTAGAGAAAGCCCGCGTGCAGCAACGAAGACCCAACGTAGCAAAAAATAAATATAAATAAATAAATTAATTTTAAAAAATGGGCCTAAGACCTTAATAGACACCTCACCAAAGAAGATATACACATGTCAAGTAAACATATCAAAAGATGCTCCACATCGTATGTCATCAAGGAAATTCTAATTACAACAGTGAGAGGGACTTCCCTGGTGGCACAGTGGTTAAGAATCCGCCTGCCAATGCAGGGGACATGGGTTCAAGCCCTAGTCCGGGAAGATCCCACATGCCATGGAGCAACTAAGCCCGTGCGCCACAACTACTGAGCCTACGCTCTAGAGCCCGCGAGCCACAACTACTGAGCCGGCACATCACAACTACTGAAGCCCACGTGCCCAGAGCCCGTGCTCCGCAACAAGAGAAGCCACTGCAATGAGAAGCCCGCGCACTGCAACAAAGAGTAACCCCCCGCTCGCCACAACTAGAGAAAGCCCACGCGCAGCAACGAAGACCCAACACAGCCATAAATAAATATATTAAAAAATAAAAATAGGGCTTCCCTGGTGGCGCAGTGGTTGAGAGTCCGCCTGCCGATGCAGGGGACACGGGTTCGTGCCCCGGTCCGGGAAGATCCCACATGGCGCGGAGCGGCTGGGCCCCTGAGCCATGGCCGCTGAGCCTGCGCGTCCGGAGCCTGTGCTCCGCAATGGGAGAGGCCACAACAGTGAGAGGCCCACGTACAGCAAAAAACAACAACAACAAAAACCCTGCAGTTTGGTGTTTATGGAAGTTTTATTCATAATTGGCAAAACTTGGAAGCAACCAAGCTGTCCTTCAGTAGGTGAATGGGTTAATAAACTGTGATCCGTCCAGACAATGGAATATTACTCAGCACAGAAAGAAGTGAGCTATCAAGCCATAAAAAAGCATGGAGGAACCTTCAATGGATATTACTGAGTGAAAGAAGCCAGCCTGAAAAGGCTGTAGACCGCATGATTCCAACTATACGACACTCTGGAAAAGGTAATACTGTGGAGACAGTAAAAAGTTCACTGGTTGCCAGGGGTTAGAAGGGAGGGAGGGATGAATAGGCAGGGAACAGTGGACTTTTAGGGCAGTGGAAATACTCTATATAATAACATAATGATAGATACATGTCATTACACATTTGTGCAAATCCATAAAATGAACAACGGCAAGAGTGAACACCAATGTAAACTATGGACTTTGGAGGAAAATGTGACCGCTTTATACGTGTCAACTTGACTGAGCTAAGGGATGCCCAGAGAGCTGGCAAAACATTCTTTCTGGTTGTTTCCAGAGAGATTAGCATTTGAGTCAGAGACAGAGCAAAGAGGACAGCCCCGAAACCCGGGAAGGAAAGCAACCAGCCCGTCTTTCTGCTCTGCCGAGATGGGGAAAGTGAGAGCTGCAGCCTTGGCTGTTGGAGCCCAGGGAAATTGGGCTCAGGGGACTCTGGGCATCCCTACCCAGGCTGCACCTGCCCAGCCCGAGGCACCGGGGGGTGGGGCACAGGCTGTGAGCCCCAAGACCTGGGCGTGTCCCCTCAGCTCTCTGAGTCTCAGTGTCCTTCTCTCGATGGACCCCCTGGACAGGGCCACCCTGTGGCCACCTGTCCTCACAGCTCCCTGCCTCTGTCTCACCCTTGGATAAGAGCACTGGATCAGCTGTCAGCAGACCTGGCACATGGTGAATGAATGAATGAATGAGTGAACGAATGAAAGCAGTGGGAATACTGGCTTGTGGTGAGTCATAAGAACTAAGTGAGAGAGCCCATGGCCAGCCCCACATTGCACACAGCAGGTGCGTAATTGATGTCGGCCCCTCCCTGTTCCTTTCTCCTCGTACCTCTCACACGTGTCCCAGAATCTGAGCTCGGCATTCGAGGCCTGACTCTCGTAGCCTCGGTCCACCACTCCTCCTGGCCATTCCCTGTCCAGCCACCCCCCAGGGCGACATTGCCGAGGAATCGGCCCCAGCCTCGGTTCCCAGATGCTGCTCTCCACACCCCATGGCAGCAGGAGAAAATGGAAATGGCTGGGTGTGGAAGTCAGGGACAGGAAGCTTAAGGTGCTTTATAAGAACCCTGTGGAAGCCAACACCCTGGTCCAGACCCCGGCTCCTGCCACTGGCCACACCCCACACACCCCTCTTCTCGTCTGCCCAGGGGGCAGCTTGCCAGGCAGAGGACATGCTTTTCCTGCACTGTCTGGCAAGACTTCCCCCTAACATGGGGCCGCGGTCAGTCCCCTTTCGGCCCAGAGCCTGTGGAGACCCCTCATGTGACACATGGACTCCCAGGCAAGGAAACTGAGGCCCCAAGGTGGAATGAGTCGCTCTGTCTCACTGCTGAACATGGCGGCTGTGCAGGTGGGTTTCCCATTTGCATGGACCTCGGTTTAAAGTTGACCCCCCCAGCCTCAATTTTCTCACCTGTAACCTGGGAGTAAGGACACCTTCCTCTTGGGCGACAGTGAGCACTGAGATCATCTTTCCTCCATTCGGTTGGCATTTATTGAGCATCTACTGTATGCCAGGTGCAGTTCCTGAAGCATGGGATACGTCGATGAACAAAACAGAGGGGATAAACTTGCCCTCATGGAATTTACATTCTAGTCGGGGGAGGTAGAAAATAAACAAATCAGAAAACCTTACAATGCCAGGTGGTGGTAAATGCTTTGAAGAAAAATACAACGTCTAGAAGGAGAAGGGGGAACATTGCCAATCTATGTCCCTTACCCGTCGTCAGGAAAGGTCTCTTTGAGAAAGTGGGGTTTGATGAGGGGCTTGAAGGAGGAGAGGCCACGAGCCATGTAGCTACTAAGGAAAGAGTCTCAAGACAGAGGGAACAGCCAGTGCAAAGGTCCTGAGGCAGGAGCACGACTATGTGTATAGGAAGAGCAAGGAGGTAAGGGCAGTGGGACAGAGCAGGGGAGAGGGCGAGGTGTGCAGATCAGAGGAACAGCAGGATAACAGGGGCCTGCAGAACACGTGAGGGCCTGGGGAGGTGGCCCCACTGCAGGGTTTTGAGCAGACGTATTGGATAAGAGACTGCAGGGGCAAAGGCAGGAGGGCAAAGGAGACTCGAAGGGGAGATGATGGCTGGGACACGGTGGGCGTCTAGGAGGCGGGAAAGGCGGTCAGATTCTGGATATTATCTAGAACAATGCTGTCCGATATGGTAGCCACTAGCCCTAGGTGGCTATTTAAGTTAATTAAAATTAAAGGAAAACGAAATCAGTTCCTTGGTCACACTGGCCACACATCAAGTGGTCAGTAGCCATGCAGTTGAGCACAGACAGTGTCCTTCCTCGTCGAAAGTTCTACTAGGCAGTGCTGCCCTAGGATACAGAGCGCCAAGAGAGCAACCTGCCTCCTGGATACAGGGTGTGAGGGAACAGAGGAGTCAAGAATGGCCCCAGGGTTGCACAGCGCCCAGCACACACAGCGAGCTTGCTATTGTCACCTGATTATGACCATCATTCACTCATCCCTACACATGTTCGGACAGGGATGCCCTCAGTAGAACCCTTTTCCCTTCTCTCCAGCCTCAGGGTCCTAGAAGTCCCCCTGCAAATATTCGGGGGGTGAAGCCACCAGTTCCCTACCCTACTCCCATAAGCCTCTTTGAAGGCAGCAGGCCATCCTTGAGTTCACGACTCCCCAGCCCAGAGAACACGGGCTGGGCCGGGGAGCTGCCGCTGGGTCCCCTCTGGTCCAGGTTCGGGCAAGTCACCTCCCCTCTCCCGGCCTCGGTTTCCCCACTGTGGAATGATGGGCTTGTCACATTCCAGTCCTGCCAGGGACAGAGCCCCAGCTCGGGGGCTGCAGTGAGGGAGGGGGTCTTTGGGCGAGGAGGCGGGGACAGAGATGATGAGGGGGTGATTCAGCGCGAGGATGCTCACAGCCCCAGCTGAATCCTCCGCACCTTCAGAAGCCAAGAGGCCAATTGCGGCCCTTCATAATCGTGATGTGCAAAGTATAGGCTCCGTCACTCAGGCGCCGGCAGAACGAGGAACCCACTCTGAAACAAGTGACTCGCCGGTGCCTCCTGACTCTTCCCCACATAACCCGGCTCGCTCTGTTTCCTGATGAGCTACCGACAAAGGGGCCAGTAGAAGAGGACTCTCTACCGCAGACACCCCTGTGCTGGGGCCAAGGTTTTTGTGCGCTTGGGCAGGGCCCATAACCCCAGAGCCTTCTGCTCTACAAAAGGGCAGCTAATGGCAGCGTGAATGGGGGTGAGGGGAGGAGGGGCGGGCCCACACCAGGCTGATGCTGGAGCATTCGTTGCGTTAGCGTCCAGTCTGCGGGGAAGAGCTGGCTGCTCTCGCTGCAAATGACATGAAAGCGTGTCTCTAACAGACCGCCCTGCCCATCCCAACTGCTTTGTCTGAGGGTTTGGTTTGGGGCCGGGAGTGGGACAGTCCCAACCCCTGCAGACATCCAGAGGGAACACCTGTGTGTTCTCTCTGCATCTCGTGGTGGGCTCCTGGGCTGTCTGTCCTGTGGCCAGCTCACTGGTCCGCTGTGATCCTCGGCCCCCAGCGCTGGCTTCCCAATGCCTTTGCCAGGCTCAGAGCAGCAGCCCGGCCACTGAGACGCCAGCCCTGGGCAAGAGCCAGCCTGCCTGGGTGAGCTCTTCCAGCAAGACTTTGACACGGCTGAGTCCAGCTGCAGGGGCTGTCTCATGAGGAGCCGTCCTGGGCAGGTGGGCGGGACCAGAGCGCTGTCCCCAAGGGAAACGGGATGGAGAGTACCACTCCCCTGCTAAGCTGTCTAGTCGAAATTCCACACATCTTACGCCCTCGCTGCCTGAGAAGTAAGCTATCTGCAGCCTGTCGGACCTGTGGGAGGGGAGGCAAATGGACACAGAGGCCAGGAACACAGGCACTGGAGTCAGCACGTCCTGGGTTGGGATCTAGGCTCTACTGCTTCCTAGCTGGGAAGCGCTGAGTGAGCCAGTTACCCTCTCTGAGTCCTGTTTCCTCATCTGCGAAACAGGGATCACGACGCCCACCAGGGTCCTCAGGAGGGTTCAATCACACAATAAGGAAAGACCCTCGCACCAAAGGCACATCAGAAAAGACACCAAAAAGCATATATAATAACATACTGGATTGTCAAGAGCAAAACAGACGCATGTGCTCATCACCAGATTCTGAGTCTAAACATTCTTGGGGGGACTCAGAATGGATATAAGGACCAGAGAGTGGAGGGTGCTGGGGGCTTGGGCCTCTGATGACTGGGGTCCATATTTGAGGTGGCCCTTTAGATCAGTGGGGCCAATGAGAGGCAGAGGACGGGAAGCGGGGGGTGGGTCCAGGGACTTTTCTGCATTGTGCCTCCATCCAGGGGCTGGGTCCTCCTTGGCTGGCTGTCGCTACGTTCCCTGTTTGGTGATAACCTTTACCTTTCTCCTTCTTCCAGGTAGGAGGGTGTGGGCATTCCCTTCATGGCTCAGTAGAGCCTTGATTCTGAAGGGTCTGGGGATATTTCAAGCACATCTTGTACGGCCGGCAGGTACTGACCGCTGGTCACGCCACCTCTTCTCCACAACTCCTCCCCCAAATCAGGAGCACAGTGAGTGGGCCACAGTGGAGAACCCCGACAGCATCCCAGGAGACAACGGGGAGCAAGCCTCGGACTTTGCTTCTTTTCTCTCTGCGCAGCTGCTGTGTGACCCTGGGCGGGTTGGCCGGCCTCTCTGAGCCTCCAGTCCTCATTCCTACAAAGGGGATGACAATACCTATTGCACAGTGACCCGGAGGCCAATTCAGCTAAAATTCAAAGCAAGATGGGGCTCCTAAGCATTGGCTATAGGGCTGCTATGGACTGAATGTTTGTGTGTTCCCAAAATTCGTTTGTTGAAGCCCTCGTCCCCCACATGATGGTATTTGGAGGCAGGGAATCTTGGGGAGGTGATTAGGTTTACATAAGGTCGAGGTCGTGAGGATAGAGGACCCAGGATGGGATTGGTGCCTTTCTAAGAAGACACCAGAGAATTCATTCCCTCTCCCCATCCCCAGCACCATGGGAGGTACAGAAAGAAGGCAGACATCTGCAAGAGAGCCTCCACAAGGGACCAGATCAACCGGCACCTGGATCCTGGACTTCTCAGCCTCCATCACCGTGAGAAATAAATATCTGTTGTGTAAGCCACGCCACCCGTGCTATTTTATTACAGCAGCCCGAGCTGACTAGGACGGAAATTAGTACTGAGAAGTCAGGTGCTGCTGTAATAGACACTGAAACATGCAGAAGCAGCTTTGGAACCAGGTAATGGGAAGAGGCTGGAAGAGTTCTGCTAGAACATGCTAGAAAAAGCTGATATTGCGAGCAGACAGTGAAAGGTGATTCTGTTAAGACCTCAGAAAGAAAAGAGGAGAGCTGTAGAGCAAGCCTCCATCTCCTGGAAAGCACCCAGATAATCACGAACAGAACGTTGGTAGAACTGTGAAGGTGAAGGGGGACTTGAGGATGGAAATGGGGAACGTGTTACTGAACAAGGGAGAAAAGTTGATCCTGCAACACAGTGGCAAAGAATTTGGCTGTATTATGTCCGTGTTCTAGTGTTTCGTGGAAGGCAGAACCTGCAGGGGATGAAACTGGCCATTGACCTGAGGAGATGCCTAAGCAGAGTGGTTCCTCCCGACTGCTGACTGTAAAATGAGAGGAGACAGAAGTGAATTGAAGAAGGAATTATTAAGCAAAAAGGAGCCAGAACTTAAATATCTAGAAAAGTCTCCGCCTGTTCCATATTGTACAAAACGAGAAAGCGTGTAGGGAAGAGTCCTGTGGGCGTGGCTGACTAGCCCTTACTGCAGGTGTGAACCAGCCAGCCCAGTTGGAACCGAAGGGGATGGAGATGGGACAGAATGAAGGAAAGCTGTGGACTACTTAGATTCTGTAGGACAGGACGGTAAAGCTGTTCAGCTGCGAATGTGCACTATTCTTCAAGAAAAGAGGAAGGGGAATTGGAAGAAGGTAGTCAAAAGGCACCGACTTCCTGCCGCAAGATAAATAAGTACCAGGGATGTGATGTAGTACGTGACGCCTATACTTAGCACTGCTGTGTGACGTACAGGGACGTTGTTAAGAGAGTTGGTCCTAAGAGTTCTCATTGCGAGGAAGAACACTTTTTTTGTCTTTATTGTATCTGTATCAGATGACGGACGTTAACTCAATCTAGTGTGGTAATCATTTCAAAATATACATTAATCAAACCATCACGCTGTACACCTTAAACATATACAGTGATGTATATCAATTATTTCTCAATAAATAAAACTGGGAGGATAAAAGAAAAGAGGAGAATGGTCCCCAAGGTGATTCAGAGACCATCAAGGCCACCACCTAGGTTTCAACAGGCCAGGTGGCCTCCAACAAAAGCCATGGGTGCAGGGCTGTCAGGAGCTGTGGGGGGTACCACCCGCTCCCGGCAGAGCTGTTGTTTCAGCCACCCGGACTATGGTCATTGTTATAGCAGCTCAAGCAGACGAAAACAAGGGCCAAGCATTCAGGGTCCGAGAAAAAGGAATACAGAATCAGCCCAGGTGGGGGCAGACGATGACCCACATGTAGGTCAAAGGTGCAGGTTC